AAACTGAGGAGGACCTGAAGTGCTTGCTGCAGAGGGTCAAGGACTGCAGCCTCCAATATGGATTGAGGCTCAATGTCAAGAAGACAAAGATTCTCACCAGTGGACCAATTGATAACATCAGGATGGATGGTGAAGAGATTGAGATTGTTAAACTTCAGTCTGCTTGGCTCCACAGACAATACTCTTGGCACCAGCAGCCAGGAAATGAAAAAACATAATTGCCATACAAAAGTCTGCTGTTAGGGACCTCTCCAAAGTACTGAAGAGCAATGGTGTCACTCTGGAGACTAAGGTGCATCTGATACAGGCCATGGTCTTTGCAGGAGAGGAATGTGTGATGGACTGCTAAGAAAACAAACAGATTCATCCTTAAGAGGGTTAAACAGGGCTGCTCCTTTGAGGCAAGGATTCTGGTTTTTTTTTTTTTTTTTGAGGCAAGGATTCTTGAGGCTTCGTCTGATATACTTTGGTCATGTTGTAAGGAGAGACAGGTCCTTGGAGAAGGACATCATGCTTGGTAGGGTGGAGGGACAGCGCAGGAAGGGAAGGCCCTGTAGGAGGTGGATTGATGCAGTGACTGGGGTAATCGGGATGAGTATGTCAGAGTCAATGAGATTGGTACAGGACAGAACAGAGTTTAGAACTGTTGTACATAGCGTCGCTATGAGTCGCAAGCGACTCGATGGCACATAACAACAACAACAACAACAATTAAAGTTAGGAGATGACTATGAAAGAAAGAGAAGAAAAATGTTACTGTGATTTTCTGTTTCTTCTTGTTGCATACCATCAAGTCAGAACCAACCGATAGCTGATCCTCCAGCCGATTTTCAGAGGTAGGTAATCACACGTGAGGAGAATGCCTCTCTTTCGCCCTCAGAGAATCTGGTGGATGCAAACTGTGCTTTTGGGATGACAGTGCAATTCTCCTCTTTTAAATATAATTAGTAAGTTTTACATATTGCTTCTTCCCAGCCTCCTCTCCTTTTCCCCCCCCTTGTCCTCTAACAACCTTCTCCCTCTGACAAACAATTAGACAAACAGACAAGTAAATGACAAAGTCTCAAAAAAATAAAAACCAATCTACTCGATGGCACTTAACAACAATAACATCAACAGAGAAAGAAAGAGAGAGAGAGATCAGCTGGCCCAGTGAAGAGAAAACGATGTGACCAAGACAAAGGTGGGTGACTTTTAGTTCGTGGCCCTCAGGCCAGTCTTTCATTGTTTTTGTTCAGACATTCCTCTAGGTCGTATAGCCCTGATGTACAAGTTGTCGTCCCGCGGTCACTTGTGGTTGTTGTGAGGCTGAACACTGTGACACGGATGTGTCAAATGCGTTAATGGTTTGCTACCCAATGCACACAGAGAGTGGGGCAGAGCTCCCTGATTGAACAAGCGTGGAAGGAGGAGTGGCATCCACTTCCATAATAGCTTGCCTCCGGAAACCCTATGAACCTGGAGAGAGGACAAAAGGCACCCAAGCATTGAGGACTCTCTTTCATAGGGTCCTTATGAGTCGCCTGCGACTCGACGGCACTTAACAACAACAACAACAACAACATTCCAACTTATAGTAACCCTCTGTTGATTTCTGCGTCTGTAAATCTTAATGGTAGCAGATGGCTTCAGCTTTTTTTTTGTGAAGGAGCTGGGGGGTTTCATACTGCAGGCCCTCAGCAACCCAAATGTCAACCTAGTATGCCATTAGAGTTTGCGGGACAAATAGAAGCAAGTTATGGGATAGAATGTGTTTGGCTGTAGATACTCCTTTAATCCTTTCAGTCTCCTCTTCCTGAGGACAAATCACCCTGGTGTGCTTAGAACATGATGAGACACCACGTTTAGGACTCTTTGCTCTGGAGCAGGACTGGACTCCACCCTCCTCTCCTTGGGTAAGCTGCCCTGGGAGGCAGGCTTATGGGAGCAGCTTGCTCCCCCATTGCCTCCTTTTGTCCAACCAAACCTCAAGTGAGCTATAGGGAAATTCTGAGATCAAAATTTCTGAAGAACAATTCATTACGGAGTTTGTCCCTGGATCCTTTAAACCGTTGCTGACTTGAAACACGCACCTTTCCACTGCAGAGAAAGTAGTTGTTGCTCCTCGGATATAGTAATCATAACTGTAGGAAATCATGTCCATGTCCTCACCATAGTGACCTGGATACTCAGTGGTCAGCCTGTGTGAAGAGAACAAAGAGTTAGAGGAAGGAGAAAATCATGTTATGACTACTGCAAGCAAGCAGACTCATGAGGTAGGAAAGATAAAATTAGAACTTCTTGGGAGTTGCAAACTGAGATTATATGACCACCACCAAAAACTTCTAAGTTCTCATGGCTCAGTAGTAAAGAGTAGCACTGGCAACACAAAGGCAGTTGGATCAAGTCCACTAGCTGCTCCACAGGAGAAAGATGGGCAGTTTCCTTGCATGCAATTTACAAATATAAAAACTTGTTGAAGGGTCAGCTGTGAGTTAATTCCCACCTGAAGTCATATAACAACAAGCAAACCATTCCAGACTCTGAAAAGACAGATAGCCCTCCACTCTACATTTCATCTTCTTTTATCTATCATTAAACAATACAATAGAAAAGCTGTAGATCAATTTTAAGGCTTTGAGAAACACTAATTAATATAAATATCAATATCTCTCATTACATAGAAGTGAACAAGAATGAAATCTTAAAATGGTGAATTCTGACCCATTAGTGGACCATGAATACAATCTAATTCATTATAACTAGCTTTAATAAAGAAGAAAAAAATATATCATCACATGCAATAAAGATGTGTCCGTGTGTAAACTGTAAGTATATTGTATTTTAAATAGGGTATATATTATCTGATGATGGTAGTGGTACTTGGAGAAGGACACTATGCTTGGAAGGGTAGAAGGACAGTGCAGGGGAGGAAGACCCTAGGTGAGCTGTATTGACATAGTAATTGGAGTAAGGGTGTAAGTGTGTTGAAAAAAGTGAGACTGGCTCAGGACAGGGTTTAGAGCTGCTGTACATAGGGTCGTTATGGGTTTCAGGTGACTCAACAGCACATAATAACAAATGGAGCAAAGGAACACTACATGGTTTAAAATCATGAAGGGTGTGTTCCAGAGTTGTATCCTTTTTCTATACCTATTCAGTCTGTATGCTAAGCAAATAATTCACGAAGTCAAACTCCATGAGGAAGAATGTGGCATCAGGATTGGAGGAAGACTCACGGACAACCTTCTTTATACTGATGACACAGCTTTGCTTGTTGAAAATGAAGAGGATATGAAATGCTTACTGCAGAAGGTCAAAGACTACAGCCTCGAGTATGGATTACATCTCAACATCAAGAAAAGAGGGGTCCAACAGCTCACTACAGGACCAACTGTCAACATTATAATAGATGGAGAAAGGATTGAGGCTGTCAGTTATTTAATCTTGCTTGGATAAATAGTCAACACCCTTGGTATTAGCAGTGAGAAAGTTAGGAGACATTGCATTGAGTAAGTCAAGTCTACTGCAGGGATATCTTCAAAATACTGAAGAGCAACGATGTCCATTTGAAGATTAAGCTGGACGATGAATAAGCATGCCTTTGAGCTATGGTGTTGGAGAAGATTACAGAATATCCCATGGACTGGAAAAAGGACATATAGATAGGTCTTGATAAAAGTGCAACCTGAGCGCTCCTTGGAAGCAAAGATAGACAAGCTTCATCTTTCATACTTTGGACATAGAGCTATGCTATATGGGGCACTATATAGCTAGGCTATATAGGAAGACATATAGCTAGACTATATAGACATATAACTAGGCTATATATGAGGCTATTTCTTGGAAAGGGACATTGTGCTCAGAAAGATGGAGAGCCAGTCAGTGATAGGAAAATCCCAACGAGACTGATTGACATGGTGATTTCAGCTCTCCATGTGTCAGAGATGTGCTCTCGTGTGTCAGAAATGATGAGGATGTCACAGCACAGGGGAGAGTTCAAGCTGACTATTCATAGAGTCACTGTGAGTCATACTTGACAGCATTTGGAAGCAGCAACAATAATCTCCTCAACTGTGTGGGCCATTATCTTGATGCAAATGTCTCTCTTGTATATATACTTGTATATCTATATATATATATACATATACTATAGATATATAATATATATAATACAAATGTATTTATATGAATGCATGCTTCACTATTTTTTCCCTTCTACTGAATCCAGCCTAAGATATTTTAGATTTGTTATTGGGACAAATGTGTGTGTGTGTATATATATATATAATGGAGAGAGAGAGAGAGATGGTATACATTAAATACTGAAATATCAGAAGCTAGTTTGCATCTTTTTCTTCCTCCTTTTCCTCAAAATTTAGTCAACCCTGAACCTCCCAATGGTTAGGTCCATTCCATTGTGATTCATCCATGAATAAAATCTAATTCTTGCCAAAATTCCATGATTCCAGTAAAAGTTTCAGCACTGAGAATCTTCAGAATCAAAATAGTTATCTTGACTACCAAATAACCCACAAAATTTTTAACCTTGCTGCTTGGAATACAATTAGTTATTGAATGCAATTTTATCTGACTTAACAAGTTGTTATATATTGACAGTAGAAAACTCTTGCCCTATGAAGACCAAATGATTTTTCTTCTGGAAATTCTGTGTCAGATTATGAAAAGGGAGGAGCCCCCTTATAATGATCTCAGCAAAAGCAATGGTTAGCTCCAGATAACCTGAAGTTAACTAGAGCCTTGGACTAAAAGTCTCTCTCTTGTTCATAAATTCTCCTTTATCTATATCACATGGTATGATTTAGTCTCTGCTTTTTCTCTTCTTTTTTTTTCTCTTCTATATTGTATTAGGATGCCAAGCCTGACCCAGAATGAGGTGCCTGTGTCTTTGTTTAATGTGGTCAGCAAGGAAAATAAGACCATGCTAATTCAGAAACCTATTGCGTGTTTCTACAGTGACAAAGGACTAGGATTTCCTGTTTCTAGTGGGGAGAAACAAAGGGAAGTTCATGTCTCATAAATGTAAATGGTTCTAGGAAGGTCTCATTCGAATTGCCATTGGTTTGTGATCCAATTAGAGAAAAAAGAATTTGTTGAAAACATGAATAATGTAAACAGGATTATAGCAGATTATAATAAGTGTAAAATATCTTCTACAATTCTTCACGCAATCTTTAGAGAGAGTATAATAAACCTTAGTACAAGACATTTATATTTTTGCAATGACAGTATCTAAACATGGCAATGCTACATTAGACTAAATATAACCATTAAACCTATTTGGAAATGATCAGGCTGATTTTCATTTTGTTTTGTTTTGTTTTTTTTTTTTTATCACTCTGCCCTGCCCTCAGATTAACTTGACAATTAAACACACTTGAAACAGAGTGGACAAAAAAACTTCATTTCCTTAAAACATTAGGCACTTTTAAGTTTCAGTGGGTGGAAGGGGGAATTATCCAACACTTTCCTTTACAAGGATCTTCTATTGTTTCATTTTCGCTAAGACCCAGACATGCCCCTGCCAAGGTGGACAGTTTGTGCTGAGAATGCTCTAGGTGGGGAACTGTAACTCAGGGAATTTCTAGAACACTCTAGGGAAGATGAAATACATGCTTGTCTGTGAATTCTCATCCAGATCTTAGCCATGTTTTGTTTTGTTTGAGTTGCTGTTAATTTGTTTTGTTTGGTTTTTCTATAAAGTCCTGAGACAATGTTGAGTTTATTTTGCAGAGTCCTGGGCTAAATGGGATGATAGAGGAGAGGGAACATTGATGAAGATCCCTGTGATTTTGTGAAAATAAAGATACTAGAAGAGAAATGGCCCTACTCATTGTTAGGAAGGGAAAGCTCCTAACCAGCATCCTTGGCAAGAACTGTTGTTCAGTATGGCCCAGAAGTCTGTATTTTGAACCAGAGTTGTGTCTCTGTTGAGATCCGGAGGACATGACAAAGAGAGTCCCTGTCTGTGAAAGCTCCCAGTAAAAGTTCCTCAGAAAGAAAAGAATTTACACTTTCAGAAAGAGACACTGAGATAAGGGCATAGAATCTTGCCAGGAAATGAAGAGACTGGCCAGGCAGCAGTATAATGCGATTTTACATCCTGCAGTTCTGGGCTTCCTGAGGGTGTGTGGGGAGGTAGTGTGCATCTAGCCTCCTTGTGAATTACAAGGGCACTTTGGGCAGCTTTTTGGCAAAATACACTTCATACTGAGCACTGCCATACATTTGTAGGCCAAGTAAAACAATCAAACATGCCTTCAGCTTGGCACAGTGAAGGGACAGGCAGATCAGGAAGGCGCCTTTATTCAATTTATTCAAATGAGTCTATTATTTAAACTCTTTTTTCTCTGACACTTATATGAAACTTCTCCTCTCCTTCTTTGTCTCTGTCTCTCCCTTTCCTCTCTCTCTCTCTCTCTGTGTGTGTGTGTGTGTGTGTGTGTGTGTAACTTCCTCAAAACGTGTCTATTGTGGATGAATGGCTGAAGTTACAAAGAACAGGAATACTTCAGTCTAGAAGCCTCAGTACGTACGTGCTGAGTAAGACCCAATTTGAATAATTTTTGTAAAGACTGTTGTGGTTATTAGGTTGACTCTGATTCATGATCCATGAAGTTGATTCTTCTTCATGGCTACCCCAAAAACAAAAGAACAAATCATGCCTGGTCCTAAGGATTCCTGGCAATCTGATGTGTGACTCCATTGTTGGTAGCCATTGTTATCAACCCATGTGGTTAAAGGGCTTCCTCCTTTCTCCTAGACATCCACATAGGAGCAGTGCCCCTGGCTTCCTTTCTAAAGAGTTGAGAAAATTGGCCAACAGAACTCTGCTGGCACCAAGATGTCCCTCCTGAAGAGGCCCTGAACTGTGTGGTGTACAAGAAGTTGTGTCACATGTTCATATCTCTTCTTTTGTGGCATTTTGAGAATTTATTGCTTCTATAAAAATTCCCTCATTTCTATTGAGTCAGACTCAACTCACAGCTAGCTGATAATCTAGCGGGGTTTCAGAGTCAGTAAATTTGCATGGGGTGGGAAACTGCCCATCTTTCTTCCACAGAATAGCTAATTGTGTGTCCCTAGGTTGGCAATGCACCTTCTTACCCATTATGCCATCAAAGCTCTCTTTCATATTTTAGTGGTCATAATTTCAGGCTTATGTTTTCCACAATTCTCC